GAATTTATATTCCTGAAGCTTTTTAACTTAATATTATCCTTTGAATCAGAGTCAGGTCTTATGTTTTTTTGCTTAGTAAGAAGATTATTTTTCTGTAGTTGCACTTTTTGAATTTTATCTTCTGTTGAATATGATTTGTTCTCAATTATCATTAAAAAAAAAATTTATGCATAAATTTTGTCAAATCTTGATATGTCATGTATATCCAATTTGCAAAGACAATTAACAATTATAAAATTGATTCAATAAAACATTTATAGAAAGAACAAACCAAATTTCTTCACTGAAAATTAAAATACTTTTGCAACACTGTCGGTGAAAATAACATCCATTTTCGAGCATGAAGATCATTCCAAATAACTTAACGATACAAAATTACACCCAATGGGTACAAATGATCTTCAACTATGTTTAACGAGTTGGGAATCTTTTAGATCTGTTTCATTGAACCATATTCGTAGATGTTAATAACATTTTTTCTTACATGATCAAACTTACGATTTAAATCAAATATCAAGTTATTATGAACGCATTTGCTTCAATGATTTAGAGGAGGAAATAAACAAAAATAATAAATAGCTAAAATAATATGAATGATATTGCAAGTATTAATCATACCTATATGATGTATGCAATGCAATTAGAATTTTAACTCGTTATAGTGGGATAAAGATACGTTATTGTTATGTAATTAGAATTTTAATTTGATATGCTAGAATTAGATTAAATAAATTGTAGATAACAAAAATATGATACTCACAAAAATAATATTTTAAAAAATAATAACCAATCGTAAATCAAATTATTAAACATTAAATTTAATTTTAATAGAACAAAATACAAAATTATTAATTAAATAATCATAATGCAATGATAATAATATGAATAAATAAATTTCAAATAATATGAAAGAGAGAAGCTTAGAAGGAAAACCATAATTGGACAATTAATAACCAGAATAATCAAAAATTAAATAAAAATAAAAAAAAGGAATTTGTATAAGAAATTAAAGTTTAAAAACTTTAATTTTAAAGAGAGAGAAGCTGCGGGTTTCTAGAGAGAGAAGCTGCGGGTTCGCGAATTTGATTTTCTTCTTTGCTTTGTTCTTCGTTCTTTTAATTTCTTTGATCAAGTTTTATTCCGGATTGGATGACGATTCCAGCATTCGGGTCTGAGCCTTGGCCCAGGCATTTCTTGATCGTTTTCTAGTTTTTTGAATTTTTGCTGACTTTTGGTTTCGGGGTTTTTGAGGTTTGAGGAATGCTTAGATTGGCCAATTCCTTTGTTTCTCCTCATAATATCAGTACCAGGGCGAAGACTGGTCGGAATATATCATTGAAGAATAAATCTAATGAGATTTGTTGTTCTGTAATTTCTGAATATGATATTCCTGGAGAGAAGGCGGGCATTTCTTGTTATGTAAAAGAAGTTCAATTTTCTGAAGATCCTATTGTGGAGGATGCTATCAATTCTAGAATTGGTTGCTTCCCGGAGGATTATAGATTGGATTGGAATGAGGCTATGGCGGAGGTTGTTATTCAGGAAGGACTTACCGGATGGAGATCTGATTCAGTAGTCCAGCAAGCTGCGCAGATGAATTATAATTTACAAAAACCAGGTTTAGTAACAGATCATTCAAGACTAAATGTACCTGTTATCAACGCTGATAACAGATCTTTTGCTAATGTCGTTGGAAAATCTCCTAAGTCAAGGTTTTTCCCATGTTCTTATGAAAGATGTGAAGGAGTTTTCTGATGATGGTATTACCATGAAGCCGGCCCAGGAGGAGATGATGTCAAATATGAAGCGTTTAGAAAATTCTCTGGTGGGAAAAATTTTGGGGAAGAAACTTTCTTATTCTTTTGTTTCTGAGGAGTTGAAAAAGAAATGGAATAGATTTGGAAAATTTAAATTCATTATTGTTGGTGCAGATTCTTTTATTTGCATTTTCCATTCTAGTGTGGCCAGGGATTATGTTCTGAATGGAGGACCGTGGCATATTGCAGGTAGACTGCTTGGTTTGAATATTTGGACCCCTACTTTTGATCCCAATTCTATGGAGGGTCTTTTTCCTCCTGTTTGGGTTAGACTCCCTAATCTTCCTTTGTTATATTTGGATAGAAAAAATATTACTAGAATTGCCTCCTTGATGGGTAAACCTATATGGCTGGATGATTTCTCTAATTCGTGCGGCAATAGCAGTTATGCTAGAGTTTGTATTTGCTTGGATCTAAGAAAACAACTTCCTATGGGAATATGGATTCAGGGGTTGTATGGAAAAAATTTTCAACCTTCTGAATTTGAGGAAATCCCAATCTTGTGTTAGGATTGTGGAAAGATTGGACATCTTAAAGAGAAATGTCCATATCATCATGATTTTGTTAATCTGGATAATGTAAAGGCTCATTTGGAGTAGCCGGAGCAAAAGATGTCTAAGGTTTCTCAGGTTTTGGTTGATGTTCAAACTGACATGTCTAGAAAGGCAGAATCTGCACCCTGGGTGATAGTTAAGAGAAAGAAAAAACCTTTTGTCAAAAGGAACGATTCATGCTTAGAGGTGGATAAACCTGCTGTGGTTAGAAATATGGTTCAGAAATGGAGATTGAAGGGTTCGTTGTATTCAACTGGAGAAAGCAGCGGGAAGAAGGATCCTTTGTCTAGCAAATCCCGTAGTTTCCCTTCAAGTATTAATCGCAAAGAGAATGAAATTATTTTTAAAGACCCTGTTATGGAGCCGGTTTAAAAGTTGGTTCAGTCTGATGAATCATTGAAAGGTAAAGAGATTCTTTCATATTTTATAGAACCTGATATCTGTGGTGGTTATGAGCAATAGTTGAATAATAAATCTGAGTTTGTTATGGAAAATATAGAAGATGGAGGGGGACTTTTTCCCCCTCTATTAAAACAATGAATCCCGTTATTATCTGGAATTGCCGTGGAGCCAAGAAGAAGTCCACGGCAAACTATGTACATCATCTATTGGATGTACATAAGCCTTCCTTTTTTGCTTTGGTTGAGACTAAGGTGGATGGTTTTGATAGAAAGGAAGTGAATAAGATCTTTGGGAAACATTGGGAGTTTCGTTGTCTTGCTTCTAAGGGAAAATCTAGTGGTATTATGATCTTCTGGAATATCAATTACTTCTCTTTTCAGTTTGTTCAAGAGATGGACCAATGCATTATGGGTATGCTTTCTAATGGAAAAGGTGTTTCTTTCCTTATAGCCATGGTCTATGCCAGCACTTCTCTTGCTGGAAAAAGATAGTTGTGGTAATTTCTTAAACATCATTGTAATAAAGAAGTACCTATGATTGTAGGTGGAGACTTTAATTGTGTGCTTGATCAAAGAAATAAGAAAGGTGGTAAACCTTTTGTTTTCAATACTACTGCTCAGGATTTATGGGATATATGATAAATTGTGATTTGCAGGAAACAAAATTTGTGGGTCCTAGATATACTTGGAAGAATAACAAAGAAGGGGCTAGCAAGATATGGGTGAGACAAGATAGATTTCTAATCAATTCTTTATCCCTTCAGGCATTACCAGACGTTATTACTCATCATCTTGCTAGAGTGGCTTCGGATCATGCCCCCAATTTATTGTACTTAATTGAGAAATTAATTCCTTTGAAATCGGTTATTCGTTTTGAAGATACTTGGTTGTCTTATCACCAGTCTTTTAGAATTGTTAAGGCCAAATGGGTTGGAAGCTCTAATGGGTCGACTGCAGATGTCTTAAATCAAAGATGTAAGAAAACACTTAGAGCTTTGTTCTTTTGGAGTAAGAATAAGCTCAAAGATCTTATTGACACCAAGTTAGTGCTGGAAGAGGAGCTGTTACAACTTCAGAACCAAGACTGCTCGAATATGGGACTTATCAGATGCAAATTCAGGATATGAAGGAGAAAGTTGTTCTTCTTCAATCGGTTCTTGCAAGGATTAGTACATGTTGGATTCAAAGAGCAAAATGTCAATGGATTGAAGATGGGGATCAGAATTCAAAATTCTTCCAGGTAGCTGCTTCCAGCTGCAGGAATTCTAACAGAATTACTTCTTTAGTAAATGAGGAGGGAAAACTGTTAAAGGCAGAGGAAGAGATTACCTCTGAATTGACTATTTTTTTCAAGAAGAAATGGGAGAGTAAGGAAGTTTCTCTAGAGAATTGGCCTCGTCTCCAAAGCCTTCAAGATGATTCTCATATTTAGATGTTACAATGTATGGTTACTAGGGAAGAGGTAATCAAAGCTATTTTTAATCTTTCTTCTAACAAATCTTCTGGATTGGATGGTATTACAGCTAGCTTCTTAAAGAACTACTGGGACATTGTGGGTATGAATGTTATGGATGCTATCCAGGAATAATTTACCTTAGGGAAGATTCATATGGAATGGAAGGATACTCTTGTAGTCCTTATTCCAAAAGTTAATAATGCTTATTTCCCATCTAAGTTCAGGCCAATTAGTCTTTGTCAGACTATTTACAAGGTAATTGTTACTGTTTTGTTAAAAAGAATCAAGACATTGCTCCCGCTCTTTATTGATGAACTTCAAGTTGCTTTTGTACTGGGTAGATCTATATCTGGACATTGTTTGATTTCACAAGAAATGATGGAGAAGTTTAGAAGATCTCAATCTAAAAGTGGTTTATGTGCAATAAAGATTGACATGGAACAAGCTTATGATTGCATGAGCTGGGATTCGTTAAGGAAGGTCACGCAGTTACTAAAATTTCCTTCAAATTTTATTGGCTGGATTTTACAATGTGTTTCTAATCCTTGGTTTTCTATATCCATTAATGGTAAGAGGATGAATTGGAAACATGGGTGCAGGGGATTTAGGCAAGGTTGTCCCCTATCATCGTATCTTTTTATCTTATGTTCAGATATTCTGTCAAAGGCTATTGCACAATCTGGAGAAGAAAGAATTGGAGTTTCTTTATGGTGGTCAGGTCCGAAAATCAGTCATCTGCTTTATATAGATGACATTATTCTTTTCTCTATGGCCAAGGCTTGTCATCTTAAGGAAATGAAGGATATTATCAGTTTGTATTGTTCATGGACTGGTCAAAAAATTAACACAGAGAAATCTATGGTTATGTTCAGTAAAAATACACCTCGCTAGAAGCAGTATAGTCTCTCCAAATCGTTGGGTATAAGGAGAGTTATTTCTCTTGAGTTTTTGGGTCTGAACTGTTCTCTATCTCGTATGATGGCTTCAGATTTCAGCAAAATTATTTCTAAAGTCATAAATTTGATAGCTGCTTGGAGATCAAAATTCTTGTCTTTATCTGGCAGAATTGAGCTTGTTAGATCTACTCTTTCCACTCTTATTTACTATCACCTTGCTCGTTCTAAGGTTCCTATTTCTATTTTAGAGAAAATAGAAAAGCTTTGTAGGTCTTTTTTGTTGAATCATTCTGCTGATCATAAGAGCACTCATTATGTTAGTTGGAAGAAGATTTGTTTGCCTTATGATCAAGGTGGTTTGGGGATCAATTCCTTTTGCCTATGAAGTGGTCCTTTTAGGGCTCGGTTGGCCTGGGATTTTATTCGTAATCCTTATAAATTACATAATGCTCTTTTAAGTGATGCTTATGGGAAATCTCTGGATGCAGTTTTTAAAAAACCTGGGAGATCGTGGTTCATTCTACAGGAGGGCTGGAGATCTTTGAAGGCTGCTATCAGATGGAATTTCGGTAACGGAACTTCAACTTCTATTCTCAAGGATGTTTGAGTCCTTGATAGAAGTTTTCTGAATTGGCCTTCATTCTTTAATATTTCTATTAATGATGAGGATTTGGTGGAGGATTTGATAGAGAACGGATGTTGGAGGGAGGATCTACTTCTATAGCTATTTGGCTCAATTCTTGCGGAGGAGATTATGGGTATAAGCATTCATCAGGATTTGGAGATGGACAGACTCGAGCTGCTCTATTCCACTTTGTCTTGTTCAGTCACTAAGCAGGTCTTCCATGCCCAGTTCCGGAAGGTGGATGATAGATTTAATTGGCTTAAAGAGGTTAAGTTACAACCGAGGGAGCATGTGTTCTAGTGGAGAGTTATCCACGAGGCTATTCCTACTTAGGCTTGGTTGTTTCATAAAGGCTTTGATGTCTCAGATCTTTGTATTTAGGGCTGTCATGTTAAAGAAGACATCCATCATATTATGTTTCATTGCAGAGTTTCTTTGGAAGTGTTTGAGGCTCTTAAGAGGTGGTGGGGTTTTCCTTTAAGTGCTGTCTTGGATAGGTGTGCTGCTGATGGTTCTTATTGTGTTAATTTTAAGAAAGGTTTAGTGGGATTTTCTCAAAAAGATGTGCTTTTCTTAAATCTGTTTATCAAATTTGGTTGAATAGAAATGAGAAAAAGCATGGGAAACATTGGTCAACACCTTCTATGGTGGCAGCCAATATTCTTGGAAATTTTTCTATAGCAAATCTTGCATCACTTAAGCAGCAATGGGACACTACTCGGGTTTACCCGATTGGTTGTCGCTGGTGTCATCCCCCTTCAATGTGGTTGAAGATCAATATTGATGGAGCTTTCATTAAACCATATCACGCAGGTATTGGAATCATTGTTCGGGATTCAACAGGAAAAGTTCTTGTAGCAGTTGGTAACCAAGTAAAGCATTGGGATGTTGCTTACATTGAGCTTCAAGCTTTTAATCTGTTAAAGAAGGTACTTAATTAAGACATTTTAGGTGCTATGCGCATCATCATTGAAGGAGATAATAAATCAAACATGGAGTGGCTTCATAAAAATGTTCAACTCGATAAATGGAGGTGCAACTCTTTGGATTTTGATCTATCTTTTGTTAAAGATTTCAATCATG